CGTTCAAAAAAAGATTTTCTGGAGTAGGTGTGATGTCTATATTGTTAAAGGATCTGATTTTTGTTATAATTTGTTCCCAAAATGGGAGTATATTTGGGCAAGTCAACCAACAGTGAATAAAGGTACCTGTATTATTGCAATTTTTCCAACATTTTGGATCATAAGTTGATGTCATCTGTGCCAGTTTGCTGGGTGTGAGATACCAGTGAGCCATTATTTTGAAGGTTTGCAGTTTCATAGAGGAGATTTTGGTCTTGAAAGGAGGTGTGGTCCAAATTTTATGCCATTGTTCTTTTGTTAACTGGAGATTACAATCCTTGTTCCAGTAAGTTAGGTAGGAAGGAGGAGTATTATTTTCTAATGTAGCTAAAAGCTTATATAATTTTGAAATTAAACCCTTGGTGGAAGTTTTGGTCATTCCAATTATGTTTTCCAAAGGTGTGAGTGGTTGTTTTGATATTAGGTCCAGTTTGAGATGTCTGAACAGATGACATGCTATTTTCCATCATCGAGAATATTTTTATATGAGAAAGCAGTGTTCAAGGTGAAAGCAGAAAGGCAGCAGGATGGTTCATTTCAAAGTGGTGCGACTTAACAGTCTAAAAACAGAAATATAATTTTGAAGGGGAAAATTCTCATTGTTAACAACAGTCTGTCAGTGAAATGAAAATGCACTGAACCATGTTCACTGACTTCACAAATCATCGTTTCTTTTAACTTCACTGGAATTTAAAAAAAAAAATTAATGTTACCCAAACAATATTACCCCAATGCAACCTGATCAATTATATCTTTATTTCCAACTTTATCCCAAACAGATTAACTATATATGATCAGTTTGGTGTAATGGTTAAGTGCACGGACTCTAATCTGGGAGAACCGGGTTTGATTCCCCACTCCTCCACTTGCACCTGGCTGGATGACTCGGGCAAGCGTAGCTCTGATAAGAGCTGTTCTTGAAAAAGAGCAGTTTGTGTCAGAGTTCTCTCAGCCCCACCTACCTCACAGGGTGTCTGTTGTGGGGAGGGGAAGGGAAAGAAGTTTGTAGTCCGCTCTGAGACTCCTTTGGGTAGTGAGGTAAAAAAGGTAAAGGTTCCCTTGCTCGAAAGCCAGTCGAATCCGACTCTAGGGTTGCGGTGCTCATCTCCGTTTCAAAGCCGAAGAGCCAGCGCTGTCCGAAGACATTTCCATGGTCATGTGGCTGGCATGACTAAACACCAAGGCGCACGGAACACTGTTACCTTCCTACCGAAGTGGTACCTATTTATCTACTTGCAATTTCTTGCTTTCAAACTGCTAGGGTATAAATCCAATCCTTTTCTTCTTCTTCCCAGAACCAACCCAGCTTTATACTCCATCTTTTCTCACATCTGCCTGCCACTTCCCTAATTTTAGCACCTTGCCTAAACAGGTGTGTGTGTGTGCGTGTGCATAACGTGCTGTCAAGTTGCAGCCAGCTTATGGCAACCCCATAGGGTTTTGAAGACAAGAGACTAACAGAGGTGGTTTGCCATTGCCTGCCTCTGCACAGCAACCCTGGGATTCCTTGGAGGTCTCCCATCAAAGTACTAACCAGGGCCAACTGTGCTCAGCTTCCAAGATCTGACACAAGATCAGGTCTCTGCCACTCAAATACAATGATCTAATCCCATACATACAATACATTACAGAAGCCATGAACAAAATGTTTCTATCTGAACACTGAAATTACATTATCTACAGTTCTGAAACGACACTACAGCGTATACTGGGGGTATTTCTACCATACCATGTTGCTATTTTCATTTAACACCCAGCCTGAAGAAGAATTCTACAAAGCTTTCCCACTATTTGTAATGATATTTTTGGTCCCCAGGGATTATGCTTTGGTTTTTCTATTAAGATAAACCACTGCAGCTGCAAACATTTTATAAATAAACCAAGTCACCTTCATGTTTTGTTTTTCTCGCCTTTTTCATGGCAAAATCACAAACGATTCCCCCAGAGTCGATTTCTCTGGCAAGTTCAAACTCAACAGACAAGATGGCTAAGTGGCTTAACCATTCTTGCCCACATAGTAGAACAAGAACACTGCAGCTTGTTGTTAAGTTCTTTCAACTTCTGCCACAACTAGGATTGCCAGGGGAGTCGTGGCAAGTAGCCGGAGGCATAGTGGGGCAGGGGCACGCAAATAGGTGTCATGCTGGTGCTGTCATGTCACTTCCAGGTCCATGTCAGAGTTGCTGGTGCGACGCCTATTTCCCCTCCATCTCCTACTGAGCAGCAGTGGGTGAGAAAGGCTGCAGGGCCTGCCTAGTCAGTAGCCACCATCACCCACACAGGGATGCTCACACTTCACTGAAAATTACTTGCAGGGTTTGGGTTTTATTACAAAAAAAATTGTTTTCATAAATCTCATTTAATAAGCTAACTGGAGCTACTTTATACAGTTTTCCAACTGTCCTGGATAAACTGAACAAACACACTCTCTGTTCTAGAGAGTTCAGAATGAGGCTTGTTCCATTCTAACATTTCTTCTGATTTCTTCCACCAAACATCACAAGGACTCCCTGCATTTCACAGGACTTACTTGCATTTTTTCTTTTTACGATGGCTGCCATCTGTTCTGGCGGAAACACAGCCTTTCCTTCAATGCTTAGGGTGGGCCCTAGACAGGACCACTCAGTCAGGCTTCTTTCCAACCCCATGGGCCTCCTTGACATACCTGAACCCCTGCCCCAGTTTCACACTTCGTGCATGGACACTATCACACCTCCAGTTCTAAGGCTGACAGCCTCCCAGTGGGGCCTGAAGGTCTCCCAAAATTACAATTCATCTCCAGACTACAAAGATCATTTCCCCTTGAGGAACTCTATTGTATTATAGAGTGGACTCTATTGTATTATTCTCCTCTGAGATTCTTCCTCTCCCACACCTTACCCCCAAATCCCCTGGAAATTCCCAAAACGGAGTTGATAACCTTACCCACATTCCTTCACCCCATCCCAGTCCTTACTTGCTTCTCTGTGTTGGGCTGTCAAGCAGATAAAATGCATGGCTGGCAAACTGCTGATCATCTTCATCTCTGGTTGGGAAAGGAAAAAGGCCTAGAACCAGAACAGCCTCGTGGGAAGGCCTTTGGCAGGGGGAAAGGAGTGAGAAGAACACTTTGGCTAGGGCCTAGGGGCCTGAGGGAGTCAGGAAGTACGCTGCTGTCAGCCCATTACCATAAAGGAAAAATTGAATCTAAACTGTAGAAAGCTTAAGGATACCATGAAGCAAACTTACTTCCCTGTACCTTTGGGTTGTCCAGATTTTATGAGATTTACTGCGTAAAACAGAAGTCAGGTTTAGCACACTGAACAGGCAGCATTTTGTACACCATCAGCACTGGAGAGACTCTACTCCTGTGATCTGGATTGTGGGCCTACTGGAAATTTGCTGACATTCTCTTCTAGGAATAGTCTCAGAGACCTCTTTCTAGGTTTTCTGCTGACTAGTAGGCGGTGCTAAAACTCCTGAGTTTCCATATATAAAATATAATACTTCAGCAAATTCAGAGTTTCTGTGAGGAAAGGTGTCCTTCTGGTCTCTCCCCCCCCCTCCCCCCAAACCCATATACTCGGCTCTTGGGCCTATTTGGCATGACCTACATTTTTCCAAGCAGAACAGACATTTTTTTTTAAATGTCCTTTTTCTATATCCTCTCAGCTCCCCTGGTCTTCCTTCCCTCCCCCATAAGTGTATTTCCCCCCTCCCAAAGTGTCTCTGTTCTCTTCAAATGTTACAAATTTTTCCCCTGTCCTCACCAAAATAATATTTAACTGAGGAGCTGTTCCTCAAATATACATCTGTGTGCACGGCTTTCATACTTTTAAAGTACATAACTGTTTCATAAACTATTTACTAAACAGTAAAACAATCAGCAAGTGTCATACAGTAGCTTAACTAATGGGCCACTGATGTGAGACGCCTGATCCAAATCCGCAATATTCCATTTGCTCCAGCAAATACATGAAATGCGGATGCCACATCTTAAATATTCATGAATATGCATCTGTAAAGTGAACGCTTCATGCATGTTTTTCAGATGTGTGTACATGTCTGTGACATACACACTTTACACATACACTGGTAGAAACTGAGCTCTTGTGTTCACAGGCAATTCCATTCATTTCAATGATGGCAACAGAGACATATGCCCAGTGATCTGCATCCTCTGTTGAAATTAAGAGGACAACAGCTGAAGAAAACCCTCGTGTACACACGTCATAGCCTACAAAAAGCTGTATGATACAACATTATGTTTACAAAAACACTAACAAGAATTGTATAGTATTTACTACAGTCAATGAAATGGAACCACTCCTGTAACCATCTTCTAATACAACCCCCCCCCCTCATTTTCTTTAAGAATATTATAGGCCTATGGAAATTCCATTAAAAACCTCAATGTTAACATCTTCAGTGTACATGACACTGTACACATTAACTGAAGCAAAAACAGACAGTTTCCTGCCCCAAGGAGTTTGCAGTCTAAATATGAATAACATGTGCGGGGAGAGTGCAGGGGAGATAATAAAGAGACAATGGTTGTAATTGCTGTGATCACAGTATTGCAATATACCCTATTTTTAAGAAACTTAGATAACATAAAATAGAACACTACCTGATTTCAGTTTGTAAGTTTTTAAACAAACTAAACTTTTAAAGAAGTTTACACACCCCAGAATTGTTATATCCAATAATCTCAGCTCAAATCACCAATATTAAAAAAACCCTGCCTAATTATAAAAATCTTGAGTGCAAACATCAACTTAAAAAAAAAACCTCCTTTGAAAAAGCCCTTAAAGAGCACATACAGTGATGACAATTATTGTTAACAGGGCCGGATTCAACATGCCCACTCTGACCTGTCGTCAAGTCCATGAAATCATGCACATGTAGGATGGGTGACAAGGCATCTTCAACAGTTCTTCTGTTCGTAATGTAAACAAGAGTCTTTCAACAATATTACTCACCTCCCATCAGTGGGTTCGATAGGTACGTTGATTCCTGGGACTTGCGGGGGTCCCCATTTCCTGCTTCCATGGCCACTGCAACTCTGGGCAGCCGGGCTACTGTTATTTCACTTCACAGTTGAGATCGTGAGAGTTCAAATTCCATCTTGGCTGTTGAAAAATCCAAGTTCCACGAGTCATTTATTAATGAGCTGTCTGTGTGCAAGTCAAGAACATTTTGAAGAAGACTGGAACTTGAGCAGGCCACAGCTTCAGAGTGTCCCGAATACCTGGGCAATCCCATTTAACAGAACACCTCTTCATTGACTCAGTGGGGGAAAGCAGAAGAAGAAATCAGCACACAAAACAAAGTGAGGGCTGTGGCTGATGTCATATCCTTTCCCAAACCATGTCCAATCAGCAAAGTCTGCCTTCTGCTTTTATAAGAAGGGAACTTCTCAGTTGCCAAAAAAAAAAGACAGAAAGAGCCAGTTTAACTAGCTCAGCAAACTCTGCCTTCAGGGGATTTATAAAAGCAACAGAGAGAATGAGAGTTTAGTACTGCCTGCTCTGCCTATCACAAGGCACAAGTTAAGTTCTTTTCAGCAGTCATTCTCTGTAATATCTTTGATTTCAAAATCTAGTGTACTACATACTGTGCCTGGTATTTGAAAAGAGCAAGAGGGCTGCCTGCAGAAAGAGCAAACTGAATTCTTTTCACACAGAGAAGGGGCCACCACATGCTAGCAGAATATTAAAACCACATGTTAAGCAAGCTGCATTTTCCACAAGTGCTTTATTCTCCCCCATGGCTTGGAAAGTGCAGCATTCAGCAGGCTTGTTTATTGATTGGTATGTGTACAGTTTACCTCGAGGATACTCACAAGAGATATATAATAAGGGGGGGGGGAGTATTAAAACAAACAATGAAAACAATAACAATAATGTTTCTATCAGTCCATTTCTCTTTGGAGAATTATCTTTATACTCAATACTCTGCATATTTTCAAGAGAACAGAAACTATTTGTTTAGTAGGCTAATGTGGTCTTTTAAAGGAAAACAACTGGTAACTCCCCAAATATAGTTAATGCTTGCCTTGATATGTAGGATTCACTCACGACTTTGGTGTGAGGACTCACCATGCAAGAACATTTTAAAGAAGATTGGGAACTTTAGAGCCTGCTGCAGGTTCAGAGTATCCCAAATACCTGAAAAAAGGAGGAGGAGGAGGGCTCCCTGTAGGTCACAACTGGTCTCCTGGAGAAGGGCATTAGAGTCAGAGTTCCAGCTCCAGGTTGGGAAAATCCTGGGGATCTGGGGGCGGTGCCTGGGGAGGGACCTTAGCAGGGTGTAATGTTTATAGGGTTTGCCCTCCAAAGCAGTCATTTTCTTCAGGGAAACTCATCTCTGTAGTCTGGAGATCTCCATGCCCCACTGGGAAACAGGAAACCCTCAGAGTCTCTTGTCATGTTTTTTTTTCTTGGATAGTTTTTTGCATGTTTTTTTCTTGCACTACTTATTTGAAACTTTTAGCAAATGTATAAGAAACAACAGAGCCAAGAAGAAACACAGACCATGACTTTTAACCCATAGATGACATGAGGAAAAGGGTGGACAGATGTTAACTTGGGGGGGGGGGAGGTTGTGAGGAACCTGGAACAAAATATCATTCCTGCACCTAAATCATTTTTTTTCATTTCTGCCCAAATCTCTAGGGAAATCTCAAGCTACACCTTATTTCTTAAAAGTCAAATATGGAGAAAGGGATCAGGAAGAATGCTAGGTACCTTCACTCAATTTGTATAAATACCCGCTTCTTCTCTTGTAGATCAGTATTTTTCAGATATTTGATCCGTATTCTTGATGGCATAGCTCTGGTTATGCTCAGCACATCACAAGATACCATTCATTTGAAAGAACTCTAGCCAATCGTATATAAGATGATGGGGGGTGGGGCCTGAGGCAGGCCAACCATTACCAAGAGAGTTTTCTCCCCTGCTTTAAATTCTCAGTCCAATTAAAATAACTTTTTTTTCACCACTAAGAAATACTTTACAGGAGTCAAAACAATTTACAGTTTCCTGATCTTGTGAACCAGCCATAAGAGAAGCATTGCACAGGTAAAGTAAGAACTTTAACAGTGGTGCTGTGCTGAGTACCAAGGAGTCATTGGGTTCTGTTATGTCACTTATATCTCTTCCAGTCATTAACATATCTCCCAGGTAACCAAAAAAAGAGGGAAAACTTGTAGAAGGAAATATCAGTGTCAAGTATTATATTAAACCACAAAAACTTTAATCAAACTGTAAATATTAAAAACTGTGTATCAAAATCCATCAGTTCAGATTACTTATATAGGTACCTTTCCCTCATGTTAAAGGGGGCGGACGACACCTTTTTTAGTCAAATCACATTTATACACATTGGAATGTCACACATTTACAAGTATTTTTCTTATGACCAGGCACAGTTACAAATAAAATAAAATACATGTAAATGAAACACATTTAGGCTGTGAGTCCTTCCTCAGTGGTTTAAATTTGTACAATACACACCATACAATGTTTTTTGTTAAACATGGGGGGGGGGGAGAAAACAAATTGTTTAGATTAATTATTGTGTGTTTTAAAAGCAAAATATATTTCTTAAGGTTAACGAAATATATTCAAATCAGGTGTGAGAATTTTTGTGAAATGTCCTACTTTTGCTTTATTAATAATTGTGTTCTATATTATTTTAAGAATCACTTAATATACTTAATATACAATATACTCAAAAGGAGCGAATACTCTGTCCATGGATGTGAGGAGGAGATTAGTAATGGCCAAGGTTTTACTGAAGTTTACAATAGGAATTTAATCAACATATTGTAACTTTGGAAACTGAAAAAGGGGTACAATAAAATGAAATCTGTAGAGAAACAAACATAATGGGTTGGATGAGGAAGGGAGGAACTGAGAAGAAGTTTGTTATAGTCACAAAGTGTAGCACCCTCTTGTCAGTTCAGCAGTGTGTCTATTTGTTCATATAACTTACAATGTACTTAGCCCTCAAGTCTCTATAAGAGAATGCTTGGTTAGCATGTCAAAATCAGCAACACAAAATATTATTATGTAATATATAAATATTATATAATAGTTTATATTTATTATAACTAATAAATACTGTTAAACAGTATTTTTACTGAGGATATCGTACTTTGGTCACATTATGAGAAGGCAAGAGTCATTGGGAAAAGACAATAATTCTAGGAAAAATTGAAGGCATCAGGAAATGAGGAAGACCCAAAAGGGGATGGATTGACTCAGTCAAGGAAACCATGGTGCTCAGTTTGCAAGACCTCAGCTATGCTGTTAACGATAGGACATTTTGGAGGTCATTAATTCATAGGATCACTCTTAAGTTGGAAGGGACTTGACAGCACTTAACACACACACACACACAAACACACAATACTTTTAGAGGAATGGGTCCCTTCATTATCAGAATAGCCAATCCCTTCCTGTGATCTTTCTTGAATCCTATTGTATGCTTGCATACTTTCCTTATTTTTAAAAAATCCCTATCATTTTTACCACACCGTTTTAGCTATATTCATGGATCAGTACAGTTTAAAGATTGTGTTAGAGAATGAACTTGATATTTTGCTTTATGGACTTATATTTATTGCTACACACAATGGACTGTGCACACACACACATAGGCTCAGAGAACTGTACATTCCAAGTCACCTGTTGTGGTGCAACACATAGAAGGTGCTTGTACAAGCCTTACACGTGAATAAGGTTTCAGCTACACAGTTACCAGCCTGGTGAAGAAGCACACACCTCCATTATTGTGAGCAGTAAGAAACAACAACTTGAGCAGAGACAGCCCCCATTGCAGAAAGATGAACAAAACCTATTGAGGCAGACTCAGCACGGTTTCTGTAAGGGAAGATCTTGTCTCACTAACCTGTTAGTGTTCTTTGAGGGGGTGAACAAACATGTGGACAAGGGGGATCCAATAGATATTATTTACCTTGACTTCCAGAAAGCTTTTGATAAAGTTCCTCATCAAAGGCTCCTAAGTAAGCTCAAAAATCATGGGATAGAAGGACAAGTCCTTTTATGGATCAAAAACTGGCTAGTTCATAGAAAACAGAGAGTGAGTGTAGGTGGGCAATTTTCTCAGTGGAGGGTGGTAAGCAGTGGGGTACCGCAGGGATCAGTACTTGGTCCACTGCTTTTTAACTTGTTCATTAATGATTTGGAGATGGGAGTAAGCAGTGAAGTGGCTAAATTTGCGGATGATACGAAGTTGTTCAGGGTGGTGAAAACCAGTGAGGATTGTGAGGCACTCCAAGGGGATCTGTCAAGGATGGGCGAGTGGGCGTCAACATGGCAAATGGGGTTCAATGTGGCCAAGTGCAAGGTGATGCACATTGGAGCCAAAAATCCTAAATATAAATACACATTGATGGGGTCTGAACTGGCAGAGACTGATCAAGAGAGAGATCTTGGAGTTGTAGTAGATAACTCACTGAAAATGTTGAGACAGTGTGTGACTGCAATAAAGAAGGCCAATGCTATGCTGGGGATTATTAGGAAGGGTATTGAAAACAGATCAGCCAATATCATAATGCCCCTATATAAATCAATGGTGAGACCTCATTTGGAATACTGTGTGCAGTTCTGGTCACCACACCTTAAAAAGGATATTATAGCTTTGGAAAAAGTGCAGAAAAGGGCAACTCGAATGATAAAAGGGTTGGAACACTTTCCCTATGAGGAAAGGTTAAAGCGCTTAGGGCTCTTTAGCTTGGAGAAAAGATGACTGAGGGTGACATGATCGAGGTTTATAAGATTATGCATGGGAAAGAGCAGGTAGAAAAAGAGGTACTTTTCTCCCTTTCTCACAATACAAGAACTCGTGGGCACTCAATGAAATTGCAGAGCGGTCGGGTTAGAACGGATAAAAGGAAGTACTTCTTCACCCAAAGAGTGATTAACACATGGAATTCACTGCCACAGGAAGTGGTGGCGGCTACAAGCATGGACGGCTTCAAAAGGGAATTAGATAAGCATATGGAGCAGAGGTCCATCAGTGGCTATTAGCCACAAGGTATAGATAGGGGCTCTGGGGCAAGTGATGCTCTGTCTTCTTGGTGCTTGGGGGGCGTCAACAGTGGAAGGGCTTCTAATCCACTGATGGCACTGGTATTTCTGGCCACTGTGTGACACAGAGTGTTGGACTGGATGGGCCTTTGGCCTGATCCAACATTGGTGTCTCTTATGTTCTTATGTTCTTATCGAGGCAATTGACATGAAATTAAGCAAACTCCGGAGCACGACGGAAGACAGGAGGGCCTGGTGTGATGTGGTCCATGGGGTCGCGAAGAGTT